GAGTGGGAGAGGAGGGATGAATGAAGGCTGGGAGGGCAGGATTAGAGCTGTGCAGTGGGAAGCAAATCCCAAGGGTGGCATGGAGGGGGAGGCTGAAGGAGTGGATGAAACATCCTGTAGATGCCTGTGAGACCGGAGTGAGAATGACTCAGCTTGGCTGGGAGAGCTGTCGGCCCGGGTGATTAGCTCACTACGGCACAAACTCGGAGTTCGGACTGCGTACCAAGTACAGCCAGCCCCTATGCTGGAAGGACTGCAGTGGCACAGCAAAGCCACTTTAATTTATTAAAGACCTTGTTGAAAAGGAGGAGGTGACCTCTGCGAACTAAGAGATCATTCCTGAATACAGTGAAGGGCTAAGGGTGATTTATGGAGACTCCTGCTCAGGGTCAGGAGCCCTTGTTTACAATGTATTGGTCTGAACTTGACCCAAAAACGTTTCACAAAAAAAAGTTACTTCCTAGTGTAAGTAGGCCTGCCAACTACAGAAGTTAAATGGAGGAACTGGGAATGATGGTATTTATCTGTACTATCTTAACTTCATAAACACCCTGGAATACCTTTGTTTTTCAATTATAAGTTGTGTTGTAGTAGCCTTTCAAAGGAAAGTTTGTTAAACCTTTCCAACTGAACTTGAATTAATGTTTTTTCCTGTTCTTGTGAAACAAAACCCAGTGCCTTGGAGTTCACGTGTATGAATGTCCAGGCTAAGGCTCAAAAAGAGCATGAATTGCACTGCAGGAGAGCTTAAGAGTGGATCTACTTGTATGTAGGCAGAGAAAACCAGAATGACTGAAGTAGCCTGAAAAGTGATCAAGGGGAGTATAGGAGAACACATCAAAGGTACTAAGGCATAAACAAGACAGCCTGGCTTGCAAGTAGATGGGGAGACTGTTTATGGTGACATATAAAAGCATGCAGGGGAACGGCATGGCACTATTGAAGAAAAGGCCTGGAGTGACAGGAGGAATTTGGCTGCTGTGAATGGGGAGAAGGGGTGGGTGCCGAGGCTGGTCACTCCTGGGGACAGGGGTGTTCTCCCCAGAATGGGACAACATCTGCAGGAGAGTGAAATGATGGTGTTTTGGTGCTCCTACCACGATAAAAATTACTTACTGTGGAGACAGAATGAAAGCAGACCTAAAAAAAAACCAACTGCAGTTACGATATCCTAGAAGTCTTGCTGTTACTTGAAAGATAGTGAAGGGGAAGCAAAAATACTTCATTTAGAGTTATGTTTAACAAATTTGTACTTCTCAGTCATCATAATATAGTTCCTTTGCATCTCCTTACTGTGCTACGTGGATTGTTAGAGTGTAAAAGCACTTAAGGACCTTTGAGAGTGGAGGTGTAAGCGTATCACATTGCACAAGGCGTAGCCAGAAAGAAAAAGACTTGCTGGATGTTCTGACTTATATTTTTAAGTGATTTGCTATTCTTATTTTTGGAGGACCTCTCTCTGTTCTGTTGTTTTCCTCGTTTTGGCAGTGGTGTGGGCTGCGACTCTGAAAATAATTTATAAGTAGCCAGCCTAGCCCTTAGCTTTCAGGATTTACTGAAAGTTAGAAAGAGGGAATTCATGAAGACCCAGAATGAGCTTTAAAATATCACAAAAGCTGTTGTGCTTCTTTTTCAGTTTCAGAGGAGATGTTTCAAATGTTAAAAAATATATATATACTTGTAAATGCTTATTGGCAACTTGTTAATTCAAAGAGTATTTACATTTGTGTATAACGATATTTGTAGCCAGCAGGTCTTGGAGAAATCTTGATTTGAATAGATTAGAATATCACAGAATTCTAAGAATTTCTGCTTTTATTAAGGGACTTCTCTATTTAATATTTTCAGTTAATGGAGAAAATACAATTCAGCATATTTTTTATTCAAAGCTGAAGACAGAAAATGTACTACCCTGGAGAATATATTAAAAATATATTGTTATAAAAGTGAATACTTTGACTACACTATTGTATTTGAACACACTAGTCCTAAACCACCAAGAGTATCTCAGCTATTGGTGAGGATGTAAGTTTGCTCCTGAAGGCAGTGCCACCTTGAGCCCTGGCAGCCCCTTCCTCTTCCCCACCTAGTTTCAGCTCTCATATCCCGTGTGTGCCACCCTCTCCATTGTCAAAAAGCACATATTTATGTAGCTTCACAATGAACTGAATCAAACAACGGGCTGCTTTTTATTCCCTGTGGGGCTGGTTTTTGGCTGGACCAGTTCCCTGCTGTGTTTCCCTCTCCGGCTCCATGTCAGATCTTGTGCTAGCACAATAGAAGGGGTGGCACGAGGGGAGAAATGAGTGGCTGGGAAGGGGGCTCGTTTGCTTAAACGAGCTGTGCCAGAACTCAAAGCATGTCCCGAGCTTAACTCGGTCTCTGTCTCCCTCAAGCATCCTCGTGGAAGCTGAACTCTTACATTCATCTCCTATTTCCTGATAAGGAAAAAAGGCAGCCCAGCTTCTTACATACAAATGAGACACATCTATGCTATCTGCCCTCTTTATGAGAACTGGAAACCTTCCTGCGTTCGGCTCACCCCTCAAATATGCTCTGGAGCTTTCTTAGCCTTTCTTGAAACAGAGTACGTAGCGCTCCCCGCCACTGAGTTCGTGTGGTTGGCCTGGCCCGAGGCCAGGAATGAGCTGGGCCCCTTGGCCGGCCGAACACCAGGAATGGCTCCCACCTTCCTCTGGTCTTTGTGCCCTCCAGCTGTGGGCCCAGGTGCAGCTGTGCTGCCCACATGCTTGGCCCACGTGCACATCTGGGCCCCCACTCTCCTGCTGCCCTGTGCCCCTCGCTGCACACAACGTGCCCTTTTCTGGGTGTCGCGGTAAGGGGAGACAGTCATCTCATTTTTTGGTCTAATATTGAAAGCTTGGGATAATTCCTTGCGTAAGTTAAGGAGATGCTGGCAGTATCTGTTACTATCCCCGTGTGCCTGCTTCTGATTTTTAAGTGCTTCCTAATCTGAAAGGGTTAAAAATCGAATATTCTGACTTCCCTAATTCTCAGTTGGTTTGATGCCTGTCACAGACTTAAAGACCTACAAGATAAAGCATGACTAATTTGACTTCATAAAGTCTGCTGAAGGCGAGAAATTAGGAACATGTTTTTAAAAGCTGACATTTCTGTAGTTCTCGGCTATAAACCAGTTTTCTGTGTTTTCTTCCAACTTCCAAAAAACTCCTAAAATATTGCTGTGCAGTGTATTCTTGAGATGTGTTAGTAGGCTGAGATTTTGAAAGGGGAAGATGCCAAAAAACAGGACATATTTTATAAATTACGTGTCTTCTGCCACTTTTACAGTCACTTCTACAATTCTGGAATTAATTGTGATTTTATTTTATTTTTTCATGCAGAAAGACGAATCTTAATTTGTTACAGGGCAACAGAACTCATGACTCAGGAGTCAGTTCATCATGACTATAAATATTCAGCCCTGAAACAAACAGCCCACGTTCCTTTTCATGTACTTGAATGACCAGTGCCAACTTTACAAGAGAAATGCTATCGGATCTTTCTTCGGGTCATTTTTGCCCTCAAATGTCTTGTAGGTGTTTGGTTTTTTTTTTATTTAAGTCATAGGAAAACAATATTGTGCATCATGCTTTTAGAGAAACTGTTTTCAGTAATTTGTGCACATTCCCTATATAAAAGTAGTTGAAAATATGTTTTTAAAGTTTCGTATTAATGTTTTAAGGGAACATAACAAAATTATGAGATGAGAAATCAGCAGATAGTCCAAGGCTAGATTTTTGACTGTCTATTTGTTTTGTGTAGCTAGCGTGGCACACCTCACCCCAAGAATGTAGAATTTCAGAAGTGGTCAGTATCTTTGATTCTCTTGCAAGAAAATGAAAAGGTTTAATCCTTTCCTGTGCCTTCTGGCATACTAAAACTATAGTAAATCTTCCTGCAGCTACAACCACAAAAACAATGCTGCATCTAGCATTTCCTATGGGAGAAAAAAACCCGAGCCCTTTCAGAGCTGTTCAAGAACTTCCCTCTCTGACGAAGTCCCGATGCTGCTATTGTTTTTACTTGAACTCGACTGTGAGTTGCATCAATGAGATTTTGGGGTATAGGTTTTTTTTGGTTGCAAATAAGAGAGGATCTCAGATAAGTATGTCTTGTGGTTCTGTAGACATCCCAAGAGTCCTGACAGAGAATGAGAGGAGAGCATTCCTTAAAGGTCTCCAAATCCTGGAAGCTGTGTGGATTGTGGGAAATCCACTGGAAATCAGGACTGTCTGCAGATCCTTGGTTTCTCAACCTGTCTGTCAGGCAAAGTGCCACCACTGTCAGCAACTGCCAAGGTCTCTGCAGCAGCAGCATTGCCAACATGAAAGATGCAAAAATCAGTCTTTCCCCATCTCTTCTCCCCCATCTCCCCTGATGACAAGGTTGCAGTTTTAAAAATTCATCTCTTTGGCTTTTCTATTTGCCTTCTGTTTTTTGAAATGGGAAGATGTGCTTTCTGCCTGTTTTAAAGCAATGACTAGGGCTAAGAACTTGCCTTTTTTTAATAGTTCTCACAAGTTCAATTGAACCTACGCAACTCAGTAATACCTATTCACTCCTTTTTTAGGTAACCATCCCACTACATTGGGGATGGTCACCAGAGGGACTTCTGCTTCTGACTCCCCAGAAAATGAATGGGAGAAATAATATAATGTCCTTCTCTCTATGGCAAAAGCCCCAAGACCATGAAAGTTTGTGGAAATGCAGAAACGCTGGCTAAAAATAGAGTTTGCTGAATACCATAGATCACTGTTGGTTTTGGCAGTAGATACACCAGACTCCTGGTATCGGTTACACTCCTTCCTTTTACACAAGTCACCGTTAGAGCATTCATTCAGGATGCTAAAGATGGTGCCTCTGTTTCCTCCCTGCCTATGGGGTTCCTACTGGTATCTCCCAGTAGAGAGTCCCAACTACCAAACTACTGAGGTTCTGGTTTCTAGCCATGGGGTATTTAATTATTTATACAAAGTGGAAACATTTTAAGAGATGAAATCTAGAATAGCCCTCCTTCAGGAAAAGGATAGATACAGTAGTATTGCAGAAGGAGGAAATACAGAGTAGGATCCTTTGGAACTGATGAAGAAACCGTCTTAGTACGTCCCACAGCCCAGGAGAGAGCTCGGATCTCTGAGCTGTATTGCTATCAGGTAGATTAAATATAATTTGTGTACACTTACATACGCTGTAAAACATGAAACTGGCACAGTCTGTATGCCTGGAACTATGAGGATTAGCCCCACCTAGTCTGCTTTCAGACGGGGTTGTGTTTCACTTAGATTTTACTGGCTGTTGCTAACATGGTCAGTTCTGCCAGAAAAGGCAGAGGTCCCGATGAACAGTAACTTAAAAACTGAAAAATAAGTCAATTAAGACAGAAGAAATCTTACAGTAATTGTTACAGTTCTTTTGGCTTTAGTTTGGTGTGCAAAGAGTTAAATAGTTCAAAGGCCGTTTCCTTTGGAGAATGTTTATTTGATCAAGTTCAGTGTGGCTTAGACCCCAAATAGAAATACTAGCTTCAAACAGAGCCCTACTATGAAAGTAGGAATAGTCTCTGGCCTTCCAGACCTCACAGGCTATGTTGGTTTGTTACACAGAGTCAAAACAAAGATGTCCCTTAAAACACATATACATTAAGTCAGTGTATTTCACACACCACAATCTTTTATCTCAGATCTGCTTTTCTCCCCAGTTGTTGGGGCTGTGCCAAAGTCACTGAGATCCTGATGAACTATAGACTTTTCAGTAAAAAGCGTATATGGTATGATTGGACCATCCAAGCTACTTAGATCATTAGAGAACAGGCTTTGAGCGCTACTGCTCCTATTTACTAAGCTTGAAGCATACATCCTTCGGCTTTTGGAACAGTGCTTACCTTTGTGTCTTGATTCCCTTTACATTGCAGAAAGCAGGGTGAGGAAGAACCCAGTGGGTGCTTCTCTTTTAAATGGAGCCTGGAAGATCTTGTTAGCTGGGGGTTGCTGTTTTTTTGTTTTTTCAGGTCTCAGCTGGCTGAATCTTCAGACTTCTAATAAATGCGCTAAGCATTAAAAAAGCGTTAATACATGATGAGATATGCCAAGTTCAACCACTTAATGTAACAGTCAAACCCATGCAGATGCTATTAGTACAGGAACCTGATATCATGCCAGATCTGGAGAGTGATCTTTGATCTATCTCCAGATCCTCCTTTTATTTGTAAACATCCAGCTAATCGCAGACTTCCTCTGACTTTTATGAGGTGAAAGAAACTGCATCCTTCGTAACAATCTCTGAAGTGCTTTAACTTTGCAGATGTTCATGGATTTGTGTGATGGGGAGGTATGAGCTCCATCTGGTGGCTAACTGGAAACATGCATATTTCTATTTTAAAAGCTCAAACGTTTCTACAGTAGAGCAGAGTTTACTGTGTGAAGAGTGAAGCAGATCCCCTTGCAGCTGTGCATTCCTAAAGCAACTTCTGTTTTTAGGGTAGCCAGAGGATTTTAGAGTCTGGGAGGAGGGCACAACATTTTACCTCTAATCTAGCTTACGGTGGGCTAAAAGCTATTACCAATGCCAGCAGTTCTCTGGTGTTCAGAGTTCTGTACGTACACCACACCACCACAGTTGGCACTGATTAACAGTATTTTTGCAGTCTCATCAGAAAAATGTAATTTAATATTCACAGGCAACCCACCTTCCCGCACTCAGAGGTAGTCCCACACAGCATAGTTGGTGTATTTGAGGGTGGTGGTGTAAAGAAGCTCAGTCATGCCGCGTGAGCTGTGTATGATCTGCAAATAACAGAGATCTTTGACTGTAAAATGCAGGCCGGCATCTTAATAAACAGCAATGTTAAACACTGATGTTGCCTGGGGAAAAATAATGTTCACATGCATACTGTAGTTAGACTACCTTTTTTTTTCCTCCTTTGTTAGTTTACAAACAAAAAAAGGCATTTCCTGACCTTTGAGCTAGTCAAATAAGAGCTACTTTGAGATAACAGCATCAGGCCAATGAATTCCTCTCCAAGATTCGAAGAATGTATTAGGTAGACACATGGACTTGCTGCCAGAACCAGCAGTACTTTGAAGCTAGCAGTTTGCCAAAGACCTGCTTCCCCATCTTCACATCGCCCTCCTGGCATGAAACAAAAGCCATTTGTCCCAGATTGCTTTTTTGCCCACCATCAAGTATGTGACATAGCACAGAGGGCAGATACAATATACAGGCAATTCTGGGCCTGGCATATGCTGTGAGGGCCTGGCCTCCTGGCACACGGGGCATCTATAATGCGCACTGAAGTGTGGAGCACCACTGTCAAGGCTTTCCTCTCAAAGGTGTGCCAGGAAATTCAGCCCTGAGCTGGCCTTGAGGATGCTCTAGCAGGTAAGTAATGCAGACAGCTGATAAACCCGGCTTCACGTGCAGCCTTGAAGCCTTTCCTGCTCTGCAGGGTAGACACAACCACCTGGTCCAGGGCTGCCATAGTGTGCATAGAAACATCAAGTGTAAATCAGGCAGAAGGGGGACAATCGTATACTTTGTACATGTGATTTACATATCCAGAGAAAGAAGTCAGTGTACCAAGAAAAAAACCCCTGAGGATTGTCTTTAAAAGTTACATCCACGTTTCCCATTTCTTGACTGTTCGTATGGGATACAAAGCTGCTCATATTTGTCAGAAATTAGTTTGGTCGAAAGAGACTTACAGGAATTGTAAATATTTATATCATTTATCTGCATTTAACCTAAAATAAGCATTTGGAGAGGGGGGTTAAGTAAATATGTAATGGTTACCTCTGAGTTAGGCAAGGGAAAAAAGAAAACAAAAACAAACAGAGGCAAATATGAAGCAGTAAGAAGTATTCCAGGGTGGGGGTGTTCCAAGCTATGAGAAGTCCAGGCTGAGGGGAAATAATACTCGTGCAATTTTTTGAGCATGCACTAAGCCAAGCCATAAACCACTGCTGGAAAGTAACACATACAGTATCAAAAATAACTTCTGGGAGGCTTGGGAAGTGAAGTTTTTCTTCAGCAAATCTTTAGCTGTTTTGAAAATGGAAGGCAAAGGAGAAAGAAACAAACAAAAGTTTCTGAAACAATATCAAAACATTGTTTAAGTTGTGTTTTGGTGGGGTAGGGGTTGAAGGAAGTGAACTGTATGGCTTTTAAACAGAGTTCCTGGCTGTGGTGGGTGCTCTGGAGGATGGGTGTTTAGAGCACAACCACACCATAGTGAGGTGGGAGGGACCACATCGTGCTAGCAAATACAGTACTGGAGTGTGGGCTTCTGACTTTTAATATTTTTCTTGCATTTCTTTTCTGCATGGCAGTAGTGAAATAGGGACTTCTAAGCTTCTGAACAACTGAGAGAACCAGGTTTGAAGAAGACATGAGGAAGAACTGGTCGGCAAAAGATTTCATAAAAACTCAGAACCGCGTGTGCCAGATCTGAATTGGCACCACCTTTGCTTTTTTGACATACTGCAGCAGTCGCAAAAGGCACCAAAGCAGTCAAATTAGAACATGCAGTAAAAGTTGTTTTGGACTCTTCTCTGTATTATAAAACTTACTTCCTTGTGACTATTATTTACACCTGTTAAAAACAAATTTGAAGTCTCCTTTCATGGAGCAGACAGCCAAAAGGGGCAGATGCCAGGTGTCAAGGGCTGCACTGAAATGAGTTTGCAGAATTTGCTATTCACGTGTTGGAGTGCTCCTTTTCTGAAATGAGGCTTCTTAGAGTTTCTGTCAAAAACTGTTTAGATTTTATAGTTCAAACATCAGAAGTGTATATGCGTGAACTAAAACTTATGTATTTTCAGACAGTTAAAATGCTAAACTATCAAGTGTTAAAAAGGAGAAAAAAAAATAATATCTGGAGTACAAGGTGAGAAAAAGATCTTAAAAACTGAGAACAGAGGGTCCCTGAGGAAGGACAGGATGGTGAGAAAGATCCAGCTGACCTGATTCCCCCTGCTGCCATGATCATCATTTGCAAGCTGAAGAGGATTTTCCATGGAGCACAGTGCTTGTATGTGGAGAGTAAAGAAATGGTGCTCTGGTCTTATTACAAGAATGGTGAAAAATTTTTACCAACAAGGAGATGAGTAAATGTGAAATAATCTTCACAGGGCACAGGGTGCACCTTGTTCTGGATCTAAGCCTTGCAAAAGCTGGCTTGAAGAGGAGAATCAGGCATTCATGTTCAGATTTGAGCATTTTAGGAATCCTAATGTTTCCAGCTAAATTAATGGGGGGAAAAAACCTAACCAAAAAACCACAAAACCAAGTAAATGTTTCAAATTAGGGCCAGCACGGATTAAAAAAACAGTAATTTCTTTTGCTTCCCCCAGACAACAGTGGATCAGATTGAGACGTAAGCAGACTAAACATGCTGATCTATATTCTGCTGTAGTTACGCATCTTACTAATTCTACTCATGACTATAAAAGGATGTTTCATTGTTCAGTATAACTGTTATCTCAAGAAGAGTCTGTCTATAATTTTATTTATAATTGGCATTTTCATTACTGTTGTTATGAAGTGTGTAAAATATTGTCTGTATTGCAGCTTGTATAGGGCATGTGTCTGTGCTTGCTTTACTCTTTTTGAGTTTATAAAGTTGCTACGCAAATGCAAGAAAAGATGTTCAGATATCTTTGAATGTGGTTGCTTAATCTAATTACATAGCCCCAAACATTTAAGCATATAGATGTTGAAGGTATCGGCTCTATTAACATAAAACACCTTAAACATTAATATAGGCATTTTAAAAGCCTTCAGTGCAATACTGGAATGCCGACACTTCTGTCCCAGTGGCTGTGCTGGAGCAAAGGGGAAGACGGTGAGTATCTGGGCAAAGCCAGATACCACTGGGAACTCCGCAGGGAGAAGGCACAATATAGCTGGGAGATCTAACAGAAAATGGGATGTCCTTTCCATAGAGAACAGGAGGGACCTTCACGGTAGGACCACCACAAAGCAGAGGAGAGAAGGGAATTATGTTTATAGCATCCCCTAAAGATAGGCCTTCAACAGTATACCAAGCGCAGGGCATCTAGAACAGGCTGTGACTGTTCTGTAACTTAGCAATTATTTGTAGTCTACGTAGAGTACCAGTGAAGACATTCCAGGTTAGTTTTCATCATCTTTAAAGCTTATTCTGTGCTTTCATACAGTATCTTTAATAAAATATTCTTACAAATCTGCTTATTATTCTCATTTAATTCCATCTTATACCTGAGTTAATAACAGTCCCGGCAACACAGTGAAGTTCCAGTTACCACCTGCTTCATCTGTTCCTGCATTTTTCTCATTCACCTGCTAAGAATGACAAGAGGGAAAACTGAGATGAGTAAAAATCAAACAATCATAGGAATGAGAAAGTAAGAGAAATTTATAGCACTGCTACAGTTCAATTATTATAAAAATTCTTCACACTAAGCATTCAAGTGAATCTGAGAGATTAATCAAATTATTTTGATCTCTGAGTGTGAAGTATTGGTCTTTGCCTGTGTTTACAGTACACCATTTCCCTTGTTTAAGACTTATCATCATCTTCCAGCTTTACAATTACTGCCAATAATTACAGTATGTTGTTTAACCCCATTCACAGCAGTTCTAGACAAAATTCTCTGTTTTCATTTATTCACCCCCTGGACCATATAGAGTATCTTTTTAATATCTTCAAACAAGACCAAGCAGAGTTCGACTTCAAGTATACTAGAAGATAATATCAGAATTCAAAATAATCCTGGCAAGGTGCAGACATGATCTGAAAACTTAAGATGTTATTTAATAGGAACAAGTGCAAGCTGAAATCATTAGCTGTGTAAGTAAAGGAACAGCTGCTTAATTTCCATTTAAAAGAATCGATGTGTTATTTTGGATCAAATTCTGAAAATGAGTCTGCAACATGATGCTGTTGCAAATAAAGGTAAAATTATGAACATTCAGACATTATGAAATGTCTAAACTGAAGTATAATCTGCTCCTTCAGAACTGCTAAGGCGTGAGCTAGTAACGTCTCCAGTTTTGATCACAGCACTTGAAAAATAAGATACAAGTTGCATGCAGAGAATCCAGGAGAAAGCAATGAGAATATCTAGAAGCTGAGAAAACTATGCCTTTGAGCACAGATTGAATGATTTTAGGTCATCTTACAGAAGAGATGGTAGAAGGGAAACATGATGATTATCATATATATAAAAGCTGGTTGCAAAGAGAAATGGAATAATGTTTTCTCATATCCACATTCGATGATAGGAATAGAAATAATTGCCTTAAATTGCAAGAAAGGAGATTTTGGTTAGACACAAAATGAGACTAAATGACCTATCGAGGTCCTTTTCTGATCTGATTCTATGATTACTTGCAAACTATCTGCTTTAAAGTCCCTTATTTATTACTGTCAGTAGAGCTGGCACTGGCTGCAAGAAAAGGAGGCTGCAGTTACAGGAAAGTAAAGAACTGACTGCCTAAAATGCACAGCTCACCAGTTTATCTTGTTAGCACTGGTGATACTGACCTCAGCTTTTAATCATGCCTCAGCAAACTGTCAGAAGCCTATGTAAATAAATGTGCTTTAAAACCACTTAATTATAAAATAATCATTCCTTGAAACACCAAGCATTAGTTTAATCAGTGTTGACAACTTCCATGATTTTATTGAGTCTAATCAATCTGAGGCAGCCTGTTTTTAGTTGTAAGATGGTGTAATCAGCTATTTTATTTATTAAATTAACTCTGCAAATTACATGGATAATCCTAAAAGTGTAATCTGAACATATGCTAAAGATTAAAAAGCCAGAAGGTGAATAAAGCCACGTGTGTTTTTTAAGCTCATAATTTTAAACAAGGTTTATAATTTTAGGAGATCTGACTCATGATTTTTGAACTTCTGGTTTGGCAATACCAAATTACTGTGCCCTATATTCTGTTGCTCTGAGTATTTCCGTATTACTGATCATGCATTTTCGTAATTGCCAAAAACATGTTATACTGATTTGCAGAACATTATTTTGTTATTCACAAAAACAAAGGAACATTTATTTAAGAAAGATCATGTATTGCGGTTGCCTTTGAAATTAACAAGGAGCATCTGTGTGCAAAAAGTGGAAAGTATTGGTATTGCGGTTGCCTTTGAAATTAACAAGGAGCATCTGTGAAGTGGAAGGTGGAAGTATATAAAAACAAAATAACACAAAAAAGTTACATAGTTCCCCCTACAGACACTACGATTTTTAACACAACAGCACCTTGTCAGAAGAATCTGTTGTCATTTCATACACTGGTAGGTCTTGTCTGAATTCCAATTACGAGACATATATTCACAAATATAAACAAGATGAAGAATTTCAGTGATGGAAAGGTATTATGACAAAGTATTATTCGTTCTTAGAACAGCTGTTGCTTAGACTTTTCTGAACTGATTGCTGTATTATAAAATAATTCATTTACCCTCACCAATACAATTTGATTTATGCCATTTTCTGGATATTTTACTAGGGAAATGGATGTGAGGGAAATGGGTATCAGAATTTAAAGTCTAAGATCTTCTGATTGTCAAACCTGAACAGACCATTGCATTTCAACTTTATCATTTTAATGATCCAAGTGGCTGATGTCTGATTGAATTGTAACTTGTGTTCACTCCTATTTTTATACTACATTGCCTTATGAAATACGCGGGGAAAAACATCTTCCTTTTGCCGAGATAAAGAAAAGGGTTGAGTTCTCAGTTCTGCTCCAGATACTGAGCTCTTGCTTCACTGAAGAAATCTAAATATCATCTGGTTCTTTCTCAGTTCTGCTCCAGATACTGAGCTCTTGCTTCACTGAAGAAATCTATCATCTTCATCTTCCTTTCTGGCTGGGTGGTGTAGTGGAGAATAGCCTACAGCGTATTACATAATGCTGCCGAACAGGAGACATGGGTGCATTATTGATCCTAAACACAAATAAATGGATCAGAAAGAGGCCTGCTACTTCCAGAGGCGCCGACTTGCTGTTCTGGAAGTTGCTATGAAAATAGGGCTCACAGATTCAGGATGGGGGAATAACAGCGAATGTTTTGTTAAAGGGAAAATCAAATGTGCTGAAGTCCTCACCATAAAGCTCACTCTTTAATTTCTAAGCCAGTCTGTTTGGCTCACCTATAACATGACTGCATATGAAGCAACATAAAAGAAAATCATGTGGCTCTTCCCATATGAGAGGATGACCGCATAGATGAGCTGGTTCACAAATTGTGCTGCAAGTCTTAGAGAACTGCTGACAAAAAGCAGGCTTGTAATAGCTCTGCTGAGAAGAGAGAATAAGTCTAATGAGGTTTTAGAGGTTGCTCCCTCTAGTTAGACTGGACTTTCTCTAAGGACGTTGGTAAGAGATGAGAGATGATGGCAAAAACATCACGTGAACTTCTGATTAGGAACAAAAGCTTAAAAAGCAGCTCAGACCTATACATATCGTTGTACAAGAAGAAAACAGTGCCTGCGTGCTCAACTGGAAAAGAAACGCTTCTGCAACAGGCTAAATGAAATATTTGGTAGCCTGAGTCTACGGACCTTTTGATTTTTCCTGAGAATGACGAGTGTGTCATTTATACCATCAGCATTAAAATGGTATGTTCATACATTCCTCCAAGATCTTTTCCCCAAATTTACTATAGCAAAACAACAATTCAAATGATGAAATAAATAGGACTGAGGGAGTACTACCAGGGTAAGCAGTAATCCAGTCAAAGCAAACACCTCTTTAGCAGGTTATCAGCACATCTGGGTATCAGCACAACCCTGTCAGGGCCATACTAGTTATTGGGCCAAGGAAACCCCAAACAAGTTTTGTCTGGAGCTGTTGTACATATTTTGTGCCTGGGCTGGTAAAACATATAGCTAAAAGCTTTGGGCCAAATTAATGAAATGTCACTTCTAAATCTGATAAAACCTGTTTGATTACAGCTACACTTAAATAAGATATCAAACTAATTTGCTGCAAAGACTGCTTATTGTGCTCATCAATATTGTTGTGTTATTTCTTAGTCCGTTTGTTCTCTCCATCTCTTGTTTCTGTACGTATGTTTTTGAGGCAGGAATCCTCTTTTTACTCTGAAATAACAGGGTCTGAGTTTGTACTGCAGCTATCAAAACAGGGTTCTCATGCATTACTAGTGCTCTTAAGGGACAATCCTTACAAGGATACAAATAATATTTAACATCAACTTTTCAGCTGAAACGGAATTTATCAACCAACCCTCCTTGTATTGCTCTGGCATTTCTCCCTGCTCCATATGATACAATCAGCTGAACGAAGTAGCAGTGAATTACAGGAAGAGATAGTTCAGTGATGAATCAGTCACTGGTCTAACTACAAGAGAAACCGACACCCTTCCCATCAAAGAAATATGCATACGGTATATACAGAGCAGCTCCTGTTGGAGGTAGGGAGAGCTGATAGTTTCCATTTTCCATTGACTTCTTTCGGATTTCTCCAAGGTCAGAACCCGTGTAAAAAAAGACTAGGATCCGCGGAAGAATAATAGTTATTGAAGCATGTACAATATTTACTGTCAGAAATTGAAGCTCTTCCATCTCAAAACTACATACATACATACTATGTCCCACACAAGAGGTGAGATCCTCATGTCTTGTAAAAAGGCTTTGAAAAATACACTAACTGAAACAAGGCTGTTTTTGAACGGGAGTTATTGAGTATCTGTAATAACTGCATGAACACAAATCATTCTGGGAAAAGCTGTAACAGATTTTCTCTGAGGGCTGCTATAGCATAATGCTGAAGGCTGGGGACAAAATTAATGAAAGATGATTTAAGCATATAGCATATTTAATCCTTCTCTCACGTAACACGTAAAGTCTACGGGTAGCAGACTTTTAGCCACACTTTTAAAGTAGCTATTGAAAAGGAGCTACTCACTAAGCCTCCAAGGAAAAAAGATCTCAGCATGGTATTTTGCTCTCCTTACTAGAATGGGAATATTTTGAAGTTTGTCTCAAAGTAAGGAGGAATCATTTGGAGGAACCACAGCATATTTTCATGTTTAATATATTTTCATCAAAGCACTTTCCTAGCTCCGAGTTAATAGCTTCATAGCTTTTGCTAAATGTAGGCGTGACGACATTTTACATTAGCACAACAGACAAAAATTTGGAGGCGTTTCAAGAATGGTCACCACGCAGAAGCACGCAGCAACAGGGCTCCCCAAACCCCTAACTACTTCTTTCAGAGGGGAAAGCCAGACGCCGTGCCCTGCCTCCTGATACCGGGGCAGGCTACCTACCACCTCAGCAGCAACAG